CATTTGCTGTGTGTTTCTGAAGTCATGAATAAAGCCTGAACTTCATCATCTACAGTATCGACATATCCAGTATGTTTGATCAGTTTCAGGCCAAACACTTGCCGAACTGATGAGCCAAACCCAAAGAGTGTTAGTGATCTGCCCTACATCAGTCCTCGTAATACTCTCATCATACATTGACCTGACATTCTCGAGGAGCTGTGAATGAGGGTTTATATAATCACAGGGCTCAACCAAGGTCAGCGAATCCAATTTTCTCTCTTGCCCTCAACAAACAACACACTGACAATCATTTGATGGAGAGTTACGGGACTATAAAGGCCTAATTGCGCTGAATTTACACAAGAGTGTTTGTAAAGCTCAATGCATTTCTCCACAGGGTTTCCTGCCAGTAAATCTCCTACAGATGCTCGTGTGACGGGGGAAAAACTCCCTTGTTATAACTTAACGACTCTGAAATGCATCGACCACTAATTGGAATATAAAGCGCAGCTCAGTTTTACTGCATTGAGGCGATAAATATATTTGACTGAAGCAGAGAGAATGAGACGCTCATGGCAGTTTTTCACTGTATACTCATGTGACGAAGATTTTATCAGCCAAAATGTTCAAGCATGAAGTGCTTGTTTTAACATCTTCTAAACTAAAGTTCAGGGTTGTGCTACTTTTACATTTTATGGAGATTGAAGCCTGTCTTACTGCAGGCATCATCATCCATATTTATATGTCCGTGTAAAGACTTTTTAGCCATTAATAGTCCCTCAGTAATAAACAAGAATATGTTTGATCTCTGATCTTTTGTTTAGATTCTCTTATAGCACTTTTCAGAGCACTTTCCATGTTCATACAAAAATTCTATATTAAAAGATTGTTGAAATATCAGCTCATGAGACAGATCAAACTTTGAACATCAGTGAGAGAAGCACAAACAGAGATTTTATCCGTTAGAGAGTGGAATTGTGAAGCACAATTATGTTTGAATCAAGATGACATCCAAATGCAAAATGACACTGGATAGTTTCTCCTTTTTTCTCTCTCTAAAAAGATGATTTGAGAAGTCGATTAGCAGAACAGAAACAGTTCTAGATCATCACAATTTTATCAGTCACAATATAAAATGGAATCGCTTCTAATTCATTTGATACTGAACATGTCAATGCACCGCCTCAAAATCTCACCAAAAATCTCTTATCGCACACCGGAAACTAACATGAATGTTAAAATGATTTCATAGCCTCTCCTCTACTGTCAATCACTGACTCAGTGTCCACGTCTCACCCCTGAATTCTGCATGTGGATAGTGTCGTTTCCCTTGCGATGACAGTCTAAGGCTTACTAACTCTTCTGTGCTGATGTTTCTGTTTTAAAATGACTGTACTTCCATCATAACCTCTGTAAACTCACCTGGACTCCTTAAACCCTTCTTAAACACCCTGAACATGCTCAATCCTCCTTTTAATGGGCTTTTAATGCCTTTTCATTACTGTGGCATGTACAATGGCCGGCATGCTGAGGTTTTGTCACAGCTTCTCTAAAACAGTTATTAGAACCCCAAACTTTAGGGGCGAGCGACCGATAAAGGAAGGAGCAGGTCTAGGAAACGGGGGAGATCAGAACAGGGTTTAGGGTCAGAGGTCACAGGCTGAAGCGGAAATGGGAGACAGAGACTGAACAATGCTGAGGCCTGGACCAGCAGACAGAGATGCAGGGGGGCGACAACGCACAAAACACCAGGAAAACAGGGATGAGCAGAGAACAGAGAGAGCTTAAAACAGAAGGTTAAAGAAGGGAAAGAGAAATGAAGAAAAGCCACGATCAGGAGAATTTGTGCCTGCATGACATGCATATGGTCCACTGTAAAGACAAGAGACAGTCTCACAAACAGTGGAATAGGCTGATAATTAAATATCAGTTATTACCATTGTGTAGGGGGAGAAAATTGCAAATTAGTGTTGTGTATGGTTGAAACAGCTGAGCTAAAGCGTAAAGCACGACGCCTGTCTGTCAGACGACGAAGAATAACAAAAACGCTTCACGTTTCACGCTTGTAGCCTATCCTTTAATCATAACATTGCATAGCTTTTTGTTGCTCTTTTTACACCCATATTTTAAACTATTGTAAATTACAAGAGTTTTTAGATGATTGTTGGCAGTCTTTCTTGCGGACGAGAAAAAAGACTTCATTTATCCAAAATGCTTAAGAAAGTTTTAAAACTGGCAAACATCGCTGTTTTGCACGTTAGAGAAGGAGACTAATAATTATTTATATGACATTGTGGACTTTGCCCAGTGTTTCAGCATAAATTAACATCAACCAAAAACCAGGCATATTGCTCGAATGTGATTTAGCCTACATTTTTTTTTTTTGAATATTCATAACACACCGCAAAGATTTGTTGAATTAAAATAAAAGTTGTCCTAAACCCTCGGTCACCTGCATTACTTGATGTAATGAGGTAAAGTGGATGACAGCATGACAACAGTCGCATTGTTTCAGCTCTTCTGATCGGTTTGGAATTGAAAGATTCAACAACATGAACCTTTGCCCTCTGATTTCCATACGGACACACCCGAAGCGCTGCACTTTATCTTGATCGCCGTGGGAATGAGAAAAGTGCGAGAGGAAACTGATTTAGCAGCTCAATCGGACCTTTAACAAGGTTTTCAGTTACATTTTAGGAATATGAACATCTAACATCTATGAAAACTGAAATAATATTAAATAATAATAATAATGACAATAAACAAACGCAAAATTATATTATTCAATTATTCTTTAAAAATAAAGTGCTACACTTTTGTAGGCTTTAGATTTTATAAGAGTACCTATACGCCTTTGTGCAGGTTATGAAAAGTGTTTAATGGTAGGCTATGTTTAGATTTATCCGTTCATCAGTTTTTCTTTGATTGTCGATATTTCCAGTGTTATCATGTGTTGGTCAATGTAAGTTTCACAGAAACTTTAAACTGAGTACCAGTAAACCATAAACTGCCCTTGCTAATATTTATTCGACCGTTATCGCAGACGATATCTGTCCATTAAAAATAAATGCAATAAATCAGAGATGTAGGCTAAACAAATGTGATTTCAGCTCAGTCTGTCCTTTTAAAATATTGAATTGTAGGCTATACTAACTGTGCGATACTGAAACAACAGTTCGAGGATGAAATTCAAATATTGTTACACTGTAATGCTGCATATTTGTCTCTGTTTAAGGCTCAAAATCGACGTGAATTGTTCAACTGTAACTGCTCTTTTTTAAACAGGTCTAGCTTATTCTTGATATCTGAACAGCACTCACCGCCAGTGTAAGGTTTGCTTTGGTAACAACAAAAATGTTAACTCTTTGAAATGCATTTCAAATAGTATATATCTGGACCCAACATGAAGCCACACAACACACACACACACACACACACACACACACACACACACACACACACAGACAACAACTCTTTTAAACAGGACACATGAAAAACACTTCAGAGTATTGTGTTTTTCTTTACTTGGTTTCAAATCATTTCTCATAAATGGTTAGTCTACTCCATTAAAGAAATAGCTAACCACTTTTAGGCATTTAATGCATCATTAATTTAGTACTAACATATTTGTAACTATCGCTCATGGGTTAAATCCCTTGTTAAACTTTCGGTAACCTCTGTTTCTCTCTCTCTCTCCCGTTCTCTGCCCTCTCCTCAGGCGTTTGTTCTTCATTCGCTCTTTTTGCACTTAAAAAAGGAATTTTCTGCTTCCATTTACCGTGATTCTCTTTACTCTGTATTTATCTGAAAACACCAGCACTTTGTTCTGCACTCGCTGTATTTACACTACGCACCGGGCGAAGGCATGAATACGAATGAATGGAATGAAAGAGCCTTCCGAGGAATAACAAGATAAGTATATGGAGTGCGTTTGGCCTGTCTTATTTTTCCTTTAAGCCTTTCAATGTGGTTTAATTATCTTGTACCGAGGCCCTATCCATGTAACGAGTCCAACGGAAGCACAACATATTTATTAACACTCATCCACGTTTAGCTCTTCTTCAATTAATGTTTGGTGTTAAAATGTGCTAATAAAATATTTGCTCCTTTCTGCACTGCCACGCGCCATATGGCAAAGGCCAGACATCTCACTGTCATAAATTAGTAATTCGAGTTGTCCTGTTTCGGTTAAAGTTGTGAGAACAACAAAAACCGTGTGAAGATGCTCGGGAATCCAGTTACCCTGCTGAGAGTTAGTTTATTCACGGGGAGCCGCTCTCAAGTGTCAAAACAGCCCAATAAAAGGCAGCGAGAAGACCTTGCGTGCCCATTATTATTATTTTTTTTATACAGGACTAAAGCTGAAGACTTTAACTGCAAGCGATTAGGAAGAATACAGATAAATAATATAAAATTATTATCATTATTAAACAATAGTCAAAGAAATAAATAAAATCCAGTAGGCCTAATTATATATTTTTTCTCGCCTGCTCTGTCAACAGAGAGCTGAGGTAAACCTCTGTAAAGTGCTGGTATCCATCAAGTGAGGGATCAGGTATTTGTCATGATATAATAACAGATTATAGCAAATCATGAGTCCAATTGTGTGTGAACGATGAGAGCGATCACATCGCCCCAGGAGGCGCGTTACATCTCACATCTAATCACTGAGGGGGTGACTGAAAACAAGCCCGATCCTTGACAAATATTTCCGTAAACGTTGACGTATCGCTTGGTGTTTTGTTGTGTTCTGGGAGCGCTTGAACACCCAGAATCATCCATCCGTACACTTTGGTCTGGGCTACACTACGATGCAAACGTCACGCTACACGAACCGCCCCTAAATCCGTCGTCCAATGGTTGAAGTGCGTCCTGGGGGCCAGAGAGCCGCCGGGATAAAACCTCTACTGGGCCCGTCAGGCGCTCTTACGGCTCCGTAATAGCCAACCGGAGAAACTCTAATCCATCCGACCGAGCGGCCAAACAGAATATGTGCCATTCTAACTGACACTGGCGTTGGATAAAAGCCTTCGGATATTTCCAAGCGTTTCTTCTCCAAAAGGTAAAACATGCTTAGCATGCATTAGATATCATTTTTGCGCATTGATTTGGTGTGGATTTAATGGGGCCGGCAGGTGTAATTTATTGATAACTGCAGATTGTTCAACCAACAACTTCTGTGCCTCATAATGTAGCTACAGTAGCCCTAGAACACGCAGTAAAACAAGCGAAATCTCTTTAAAAACGAGGAGCTTGACGTTAAAAACTCATCGACTAAACATTAAGTGCTTAAGTATCGAATATAAGAGGCTGTTTGATGCAAATAGTCATTAATAAATATTAAATAATAAATATATAACAATAGCCGTAACTGTCAGGTTCACCATAAATGTCCTTTTGCAGGGAATAAAACTATCAACGCAGGAATATTTTCACGCAAGACCTCATATGGACTAAAACACAGCAAATTAAGTGAGAGTGGACACTCGGACATATAACCAGGACATCAAGAGACCAAGACTTCTCTGAGAAATGTCCAACACAACTGGGCGAGGTAAAAACAATAAACGAGTTATTTTGAAATCTATACCGGAATCTGTAGATCACATGAAATGTCTAAATTTATCCTAATTTAAATGATATTTTACCATATAGTTCAGTTCAAGAAACTATAGGCTACTCAGGGAATATCAGACAGACCTTCCTTTTTATTTTATTAGTTTATTTTACAAATAGCTACTGTTAATTTATAGAAATTAGGAAATATAAAATATATAGAAAATGTAAATTTGACAGTAGTGGTTTGACAATTTATTATAGGAAGTTATGTGTCATATCACTATATTTCCAGCGGTCCGTGTTGGTCTCATGAGGAATACTTGCTTATATATAACAAATAACAAATTGAGATCCTCTCACATTCATAACAAAAATCCGACTTGGGAAAATTTAAAAAAATTTAAAAACTTTCCTATGAATTTGATTTTTTTGTTGTTGTTTAAATAGTTTATCTAACGATTGGAGTGCAGAAGAAGGGAGCAGAAATCCCGAGAGGAGTTAGACATGAAGTCTTTACTCGCACAGATATTGACTTTTCTTTCAGAGGTTAATGGCTTAAATCCGTTGGAGCTCAGTTCAACAATAAGAGCCTATAGCAACTGAGCAGTAAAACCTGCTCCAGACACCTCATTCTAACACATGGATTTTTGCCGGTATTTTAGTCATTTACGACTGTATAAGAGCGGCGATGGAGAGAGACATCATTCAGTTTTTGTGTTTGGCCCCGAAAGCCGCTTTCCTGCTTTCTCTTTTTTACATGAAAATTAATGTATTGATAGTATTAATGGTGCGTTTTATAAGTTTTCATTTAGGTTGCTGTAACATGTTTTTAATTATTTTATACAACATCATATATAGCACTTCTGTGGAGAAGACCCCCCCCCATGATTTCAGTCTCATATTTTTACCTGAACATTTCGTTTTCCGTGTATTTAAACTAATGTACAATTTAAATTATTTTTGTATTCCGTTGTTCATTGAAACACGATTATTATGGTCCAAATTTGTTGGAATTTCGTCCCATGCTTTTACCCCCATTGCGTACTGAAATTATAGGCTACGCAAATACTTAATTGTATGACATAGATCAAGTGTCCATAATGTCAAAACAAAATAGATCTAACATTTTTAATATAAATAATTAGTTAAAATCATTTTGTAAGCGATGCGCTATAGATTTTGTAGTTCAGGCCATGATCCAAAAAAAAGTATCGTTAAAAACTCTATTAATAATGTACATAAACAATTAAAATCCATAATCAAAACTAGGCTATAAGATTTGGCTGCGTGAAAGTGAACGTAAAACTTAAATTAGTACAGCATTAGGAACATTAGGAATCTGTGTTAACCCTGTTTTTTTTTCTATTTAAGTAGCCTACTTTTAAATTGGCATGATTGTGTTTACATAAAATGTTGCCAAAGCACTATACGGGAGGGGGGGAAGCATTTTGGAAACAAAATTGTACTCAGAAGTAAGCTAAATGTCATTTGTCCTTAATTGTGGAAAAAAAAAACACTTTTTATTGTAAAAATGCAGTAAGTTTTCTGTTAGGATGTGGTGTGGGTTAGTACTTATTTAACTAGCTGTTTATAAAAAACCAACTGAAATCTATGAAAGGTCGCCATTTAGATAGTGTGTGTGTGTGTGTGTGTGTGTGTGTGTGTGTGTCTATTCTCCTGGGGTTTCTCTGCTTTAATATCCTGTCGCTTGCTGACTCTTGGCGAGGAGAGTTTGACACACTCCGCTAACACCGTTAATAGCGCCGTTTGATGTGGAAATGAAAGCTGCAAAAGAGCAAAAGGGGAAGAAGAGACTGAATGGGTTAAATTAAAAGTGAGGCGCTTGTGAGAGTCACTGGTGCGGCGCAGCACCACACACGAGCGCGGACAAATTTCGTCACAAAAGGGCGCATGGCGAAAACACGAAAAACGAACATTAACATCTGCTGCTTAACATCAAATCTATTATCCAGACACTAAAAACAAAAACAATTAGAATAGTAAAATTATTACTTATTACTGAACAATAGTTTCCTTATGAACATCGTATTTTTAATATTTAAATATTTGTAATTTTTAGACGTAAGCCCTCTCTCCATTATTTCAGTGCAAAGGATGAATTTCTTTCAAATATTATTATTTTCCTCTGACAAAATGTTACATGTTTTATAGTTTTAATTGCCTTAGTATAGGTTATTTATACTCGTAGACACCAAAACGTTAATGGCTAAAACTGGAAATAGCAGTAGGTGATATCAGTTGATATATTATTATTATTTTTACAATTTCTTCTATATCTGAGACGAGTTTAATGCAGTCAGTAAATCCAAATATTCTACAGGACATCTGTGTCCCACAGGAGCATGAGATACATATCTGGAAAATCTTTCCAGAAAACTTGTACAGAGCGGTCTAGACCAGAAGCTATCTGGTTACAGTACTAGCCTGGTGAACTGGAGCTTTATGTGATCGTTTTGAGTGTGGAATTGGTAACAGTGTCTGCTGGGTTCATAGAAACCGAGGAAACATCGGAAATGCTGAAGACATCATAGTGTAGTAGATGACATGACAATCTGTTTAAGTCTGTCAAGTTTGTTGAATCTGGAAAGGTTTTCTTCTGGACACTATTGAGAATGTACATAACTTTCAGAAGAGTGTTAATGTGATTCAGCAACTACCCAAAGAAACCTAGATTTCTGTAATGAGGCCAATTAAATTCACCTGTGCTGACAGAGGCAGTGTTCATTGTGCACGTTTTTCTCATACATTTGGCATGATGTTTATGTTTGTTCATGTCCTTTCACCCCCAGGTCATGGGGGTCTTAATCAACTAGGTGGCATGTTTGTGAATGGACGCCCGCTCCCGGAGGTCATCCGGCAGAGGATCGTGGACATGGCACACCAGGGCGTACGACCTTGTGACATCTCCCGCCAGCTGAGGGTCAGTCACGGCTGCGTCAGCAAGATCCTGGGCAGGTAAACAGTCCAGAGCAGCCCATACTGGAACACATCGAACACACACACACACACACACACACACCACACACACACACACACACACACACACACATACCCTAACAACAACAGGATGGGCCAAACACATTCACTTATTTTCTACTTTTCCTCACTTAGTGTTTGTTAAGTCTCCTCTGCTCCGCTGCCAAACATACCGAATCAGGATGTACATTTATTGTACATTTATTGACCAAGCTGCACTTGCAAGAACTTGGTGCCGATTTGCTCTAAAGTAACCATCCCATATCAAGTACTTCACATATATCACGTTACACACAATATACAATCTATAAGACGATATACAGCACAGTGCATGATATACACATGCAGAGTGAGCAGACTCAGAGTACAGTAGATCGAATCTAGCAGAACTAAATGAAGAATAAGTGAGCAGACGGGTGACGGAAGGAAGCTGTGAAAGCAGTCAGCAGCTGTGTGTGAGTTTTGTTTTAATGGTCGTTTGTCTTTCAGGTATTATGAGACGGGCAGCATTAAACCAGGAGTCATTGGGGGCTCAAAGCCGAAAGTGGCGACTCCTAAAGTGGTGGAGAAGATAGCGGAGTACAAGCGTCAGAACCCGACCATGTTTGCGTGGGAGATCAGAGACCGACTGCTGGCCGAGGGCGTTTGTGACGGTGACACTGTGCCCAGCGTCAGCTCCATCAACAGGTACTGAACCCAAACCTCATCAAAGAACATTACATACCACAGAACGTCAATGTGCTTGAAAATCTTCATGGTCCTAGAATTTAGTCCTTAATTTTCTTTGTGCAAATTTAATCTTCCTTCTTGATTAACTTTGTTAACCCACTGTTTTCTTCTCTTAAAGGATTATTCGCACAAAAGTTCAACAGCCATTCAACCTTCCTCTGGACAGTAAAGGCCTCAGTCCTGGACATACACTGAGTAAGAACATACACTAACAATTCACAATAATATCTGTTTCAGTTCAGTGCGGTTAAAGTAAAGTCTGTTTGGTTTACAGTTCCCAGTTCAGCCGTCACTCCTCCAGAATCTCCTCAGTCGGACTCTCTAGGCTCCACCTACTCCATCAGCGGCCTGCTGGGAATCCCACAGACCAACGCCGAGGGCAAGAGGAGCCGCGATGACAGTGAGTCTTACACACTATTAGTGTGCTGTAATGCACCGATTCAGACAGAACTTCCAGACACCAAACATATCAAAGTTTAACAAATTAACCGTGACATACTGAATGATGCTGCTCCGCTGTTTGCATGAGGCATAATTTTGATCCTGAAACATTACATTAATTTCCAGATTGGGTTAGGAGATGGGTTTAGGAAAAATGCATGGCTGAGATGAGAACAAATGTGGCACATTTTTCAGGTTTTGCAGAAATGTCTGTACGGTACTATGTTTTAAAGAGAGTCCCGTTATCAGTAAAGAAATAATGAGCTTCCATTTGCATGTCAGGTGATCAGGAGAGCTGTCGGCACAGTGTGGACTCTCAGGGCAGTGGCAGCGGACCCCGGAAACAGTTGAGGACCGAACACTTCCCTTCCCAGCACCTGGACTGCGGCTTTGAGAGGCACCACTACAGCTCCGACACATTCAGCCAGACCGTGGCCGTGGGCAAAACAGAGCAGGTACTGGAGCAAAACGCTGTCCCAATCACCGCGCATGCACACAGATATTCAGCTACTGACTCTCTCTCTCCTGCAGTCACTCTATCCTCTCTCGCTCATCAATGGCAGTTTGAACGAGGGTAAAAGTGCTTCAGCTATCAGTCGAAACCTGGCAGCACATCAGGGATACACAGTGGTTGCAGGTAATAACCACAATTCATATGTAAAAGCCTTTAATTCCTCAATTATTCTCCTAATCAGAACGATATTTACAAAAAGAGACGCACATTTACTGTATGAAAAGACACTTCCGGAGTGCCATGTCCAGCAACACATTACACAGTTCATTTAGCAAACCGCTCAGTCCTGTATTCCCCAAATTCATAATTCATATTTGATTGTTGTATTCGCCATTTTCGTCATTGTTTTGCATATGTGCTTATGCTGTCTGTGATTATTGTAATCCATTCCATTGCACATCAATTAACATTCATACATTAATTTTTCCACCTGTCTGTCGACCCGTGCTCCGCCTCAGAAGCTCTACAGCCCCTCCCACTCTGTTTGAAACAGGAAATGTCACCTGAGGTGAACAGCTCAAGCCCCTCCCCCAACATCATCGCTAATTCAGCCTTCCTGGAGCTCACTTCCATTTCGGCTCCGTCATCAGTGCCCATCGCTAACAGCTGCAGCAATGCCACTCATTTATCTCATGGCTTCAACTCATTTTCCCATCATGCCCCAGTGCACGGGCAGTTCAGCAGCCCGCCGCTCATTGCAGGTAAAACGTCACAAATCGCTCATGCATCCATCATCCCAGTTTCCCCACCTGTCCGGTGTTTTCGATACTGTGAGACAAAACAATGAGTGGATTTGATGACTGTTTCAGGCAGAGATGTTGCGAGCTCAATGCTACCCGGTTATCCTCCACACATCCCGTCGGCCACGCAGTCAGGCTTCTCGTCATCCACCATTACTGGGATGGTAGCAGGTGAGCCAGCCTTTTGAATTCTCATGCATTTAGCGGTGTTTGTTAAAGGGGTTATATGATGCGATTTCAAGTTTTCCTTTCTCTTTGGAGTGTTACAAGCTGCTTGTGAATAGATAAGATCCCTAAAGTTGCAAAGACTAAAGTCTCAAACCCAATGAGATATTCTTTATAAAAGTTAAGACTCGTACATGTCTGCGTCACGATGTGGTAAGACTTGCATCCCAAATGTTCACGCAAAGAAAGAAGGCGTAACTTTGATTCTCGCTGTAGTATTGTTGCTGCCGCCGCCGCCATGTCGTAGAGACGCTGTGTGTTTCGTTGCGAAAGCGTAAATACTTTGTTTGGTCTTCCAAAAGAGGACACAACTCGAAATCAGTGGTTAAGTTGTATTTACAACACTGTTCCAGAACAGTTCCAGAATTATGTACCCACTGGATGCTACAAATGCCTCGTTTGTAATGGGTTTTATTGGTTTTCTCTCGTCGCGCCGGGGACATGACATCACAGTATGGTAAGGGGCGTAACACAGTATGTGGAAAATTATGTGTTTTTTTTACTTTAAACCGCATAAACACATTTCATTACACCAAATACGCAAAATAATGTTCTTTTTAGCAATGTCATATGACCCCTTTAAGGCAAGTGTCACTATTCAGTGGGGATTTTGTCCATCAAACACATTTATTCAAATAAGGCACTAATCACTTGATGTAGATGGGTTACAGCTAAGGCGGGACTGTTTCTGGTATGTATTTGGCGTAATAGAAGGTCATGTGCTCAATAACAGCTGCAATAAACAACACTTTCATATCTGCTTAATTATATAATTCTAACATTAAATATTTAAATATGGGAAAGAGTTAATTAAAGTGACACTGGCTGTTCAGAGAATATTTTGCATTTGTAATCTCTTTATTTTTCTTATGTTGAATTTACTGTATCTGAACCACCAAGCTTGAACCATTTTACCCAGAGAGTTCAATTTTCAATTCATTTTGACCTGCCCAATAACACAGGACTACAGGGCATGAGCCAGCCAACCACCCAGAGCAGCCTAGCAACTGCACAACAAATCCACAACCACAGAGACACTTACTGTGATTCCTATTTATTAAAAGAATCATCTGTCTTCCGTTCTTCATTTCACCCCTACTCTAGATTGTGTACTAGTCTAGCTTAGATTTAAACGTCCCACTGTATGCTCTGAATCTGGTTCTTATGACAAATGATTTGTGATGTTCCTCAATTGGATAAAAACATCTGCTCAGTGAGCTCAAAGGGAATGCATAGCAACAATCCAGTATTGGTGAGTTTCACACAGGCATTCGCATTTACTTCAGGAATTGTAAAAATCTAGTTTTGTGATTCCGTGTTCTCATCAGTGCAGTTTCTCTGAAACAGTCGGTGATAAACATGGTACAGTATGAATGTGAGGAGCGCACAGAGCGTGTGAGAGTGCCGGGAGGGCAGTTTAGAGATTAACAGAGGAACGGGTGGGTTAATCAGTAGCTGGTTTGCTGTGGTATAGCAGGTCTGGGCGAATGGGGGGAACGGGGCAGGAGTTCCGCCCTGCTGCCCGCAGCGGCCCCTCTCACCCGACCACACAGCGCCACAGGAACCACACTGGGGCCCCACTGAGGGATCATGACTATCAGTCCCAGAGAGATGGCGAGAAAGACAGTCTTAGGCGGAATGCAAACCGTGAATGAATGCACAATCTGTATGGAAAGCATATACAGAGAGTATATCCATTAAGGAACAAACGGTAGGAGGAGTGCGAGGCAAACGCAGCAGAGCTCGATGGAGCTGCTCAGACTCTGATACACTTTTCTTTTTTCATATGAAGTCTGCCCTGCCAAGCGCGAAATGAGAGGGTCTGATTTATTATTTTTCTGGTGGGCTTGCTGAGAGGAAGCGTTCATACACAATTACTCACTGAAGGGGGGGGATTCAATCCGGCTCCCATAATTACCAATTAGATATTGGAATGTTAAAAAAAAGAATGGCAGAGGGAGGCGGCGAGAGCATGAAAGGCTAAAGGAGGAAGTGAGGGATGGAGAGACGCTAAAGCAGACTGACTGTATGCACCAGTGAGCAGCCGTCCACCTGCCCAGCCTGCGGGATTAATGGTTTACAAGCGCCTCTAACCACCAAGTGAATGATGTGCTAGAGCTCAAGCTGCCGAAAGTGCAGACGAATTCGCACAACACTTTACAGGACGAGAGCCTAAGTCTGAATCTGTTGTCATTCAAGGAGTTTGTTTGTTGCATGCTTGTTGTTGCTGGTGTCTTGTTTAATGTGTTCACCTGTGGATGTGTGTTCACCTGCAGGTCCAGAATACACGGGCCAGACCTACAGCCACACGCCATACACTTCCTACAGTGACGCCTGGAGATTCACCAACTCCAGCATATTAGGTACGTTGAGCAGAATCAACAGTGTGTCTCTGAGGACTTTAAGTGTCTCCACATGGGTATGGTCGTCTAGTAGAGGGTATTCGCTATACATGTGAAAAAAACTATCTGTATACACCCAAATGGGACCGCCTTGCCCTTCAACTGTTGCATAAAGTTTCAGTCACATGTCCTCTGAGGTAGTAACTTTTTGTGTCTTCCGGCTATTGAACGTTTCTGTGGAAAGAAATAATGCCACAGTCACAAGACGGCCGTTAGCCCTCTAGCTCGTGATTTAATTAGAATTACAGAGCAGACAAACTGAAGTTTCAACAATACAAAATAATATAACAAATGTTCTACTTTGGCTCCTCAGTATACTCTATGGACTCCCTGTCTCCCCCTGCAGGTTCCCCATATTACTACAGTTCAGCCGCGCGAGCGCCGCCTCCCTCCACCGCCGCTTATGATCATCTCTAGTGCCGGACTTTTTACAGTGGAGTGTCCAATGAAAGACACAAGGAGTGAAGAAAAACGAAAACATTGATGGACAATACCTTTTATTGCCTGTAAAACTATTTATGTCCTTTGTTCAAGGCGCGATTAAAGGCCACGTTTACATCTTCATCCACCAGTCAGAACATTTCTTGCCTGTGTTTTTATTTCTCTGCAGCGAAATAGTTCTGCAAACTGTTTTCATATAGGCTATTCATGGCCAGAAACCCTTTACGGGACATAAGCGTTGTTTTTAGCAGCTGAAGCATCTGAAGTGTAGCCTACACGGTCGACAAATACTACGAGACTGCATCCACACAACTGAACAACTGAACTATATAAATTAAAATGTTATAAATGATTTTAACGGAACATGAGAAACACCTTTCACTGATTAAGAAATGGAGTAAATGCCATATTGCTCACGTGACATTTTGATGTTGGATTCGAGCTGAATGAATTGCTATCGGATGGGCTTCATTGATATTCATACAGCAAATATTTAAAACGACATATAATAACACGATGTTAACAAGCGGATATTTTTCTCTTCGATGTGCCTGCCATCCACCAAATCCACAAAGATTATCAAAAACATCACGGCTGCATATTCAGTCCAAACCATTACAGAAGTTTAATGTTTTGGGGCAATATGTAAATAATGTAGAGATGGCAAACCCCTATTAAAATTAAATTGATTTATAATACACACGATTATTAAGGCTGAACCGTGTGGGGATTCATTAGTTATAAAATCTTTATATTCTCGCTTTTATTTTATTTTTCTCCAGCTTATCATCATGCTTATATTTCTGTGATAAAATGAGTTTGAGTTTCAGAGATTACGTTTTATTGTACTGTTAATTATATTATTCAAATGTAAATTAATAATTTCTACAGAAGTATTTTGAATTAAATAAAGCATGACAAAGTCCACTCATGTGTTTTCCTCTTTGTACCATAATAATAAGTGTAATTATATATTCCATATTGTCAGGATATAAGAGCAAACAGCTTGGTTATCCTTAAATATATCAAACCTTCATATAGGCCTAGGCCTAATTGCATAGGCTGCTGCTACTGCTAGGGTAGTTGGCGCTGATGATTATGGTGTTTCTACTATTTTCCTGTTGAAAGCCATAAATTATGTTGCATATTTTTCGCCAGTCAGCGGTTTAACGGAACACATGAAAGGGACAAAAGCAATGATCCTGAAAACATGCGCATCTGTTTAATTTCCTTTTTTATTTTCTGCATCACATACTTTTATTTGCAATTATTTCTCGCCTCTTTGTGGCCTCATTATAATGGCTCTTTAACGAGGCCACGGTTCGACGGTGCCGCGGCCCACCTGGATCCAGCGCGCGCGTGATGAATGAGGGCCGTTTACACGTGGAAACCGAGAACACGAGCGCCTGGGGCTCCGGTACACGACAAGAATCCTGAACGATAAAGACACTGACCGTCGAAGACCCTCGATATTTACTTTTTTTTCGTGTGAGTACAGAATGTTGTGTAAATGTGTGGGAGCGCGGGGATTCTTAATAACATCAGTTTAACCGTTTGGAAATGAACTACACTGTGAAATCACACATGAGCATAACCTTCCTCATGTGATAGCAATAGCCTATTTAGCTTCTGCTTTATAATTTATTTTGAGATCGTCCAGTTTTCCAAAGTAGCCTATATTGGAACCACAAACACAAACCTACAATTTACCACCAGTGTGAGAGTAACACACACACACACACACACACACACGTCGGGTTTATCATCGTGGAGACTCTCCGTAGGCGTAGTTGTTTTTATACTGTACAAACCGTATATGTTCCATCGCCCTACACCAACATACACCCAGACCTACCCCTCAAAGAACACTTTTTGCATTTTTATATTCTCAACAAAAAAAAAAGTCCCCATGAGTCGGTGTCTAAATTGAAAAACATGCGCACACACACACACACACACACACACACACACACGCGCATGTTTAAACTGACGATTGAATTAAGTTTTAATTAAAACATTTTCCATAAGCTATGTTTACCATTTTGAATTAAGTGTAGTAAGGAAAGGAAGATAATTGGTATTTATGGTAAAAAAAAAAAAACGTTTAAAACAAGTAGCCTACATTTTATTAGGCCTAGCACACTAAACTGTAACAAATTCACTCGTAGGCTACTTGCATGGATAATATGTTTTATTACCTTTTCCCAATACACAAAATAAAACGCGACTTTACCCGTTATAATCTCTGAAATATGGGAGTTTTTTTTTTTTATAAATAAATAAATAGGCAGTAGCCTATTTTTCAAATTTATTTTCGGCCGAATTATCCATAACCCGACAGGTAAAGTCATGTAACCGGTGTTCTTGAATATCCTCCTGAGAACCATACACACGTTTTGTGATTTTTAAAAAAAATTTTTTTTTTTAATGCCGTTACATTGGTTGCATAAGAAAGAAATGTAGAAAATTATTCAATTTCCTTTGTAGGGGACGTCAGTATACCTTATTCCAAAAAAAAAAAAAAAATGTATAGGCAAAAACAATGATTTATTTTTTCAGTTTTTAGGTTTCAGACTATTTTGAACCAAACTTTGTACAAAGATGATTCTCAACTATGTTATGAAAGATATAACAGAATGATTTGATATACTATTTTACTTTATGCAATATGTGCGTAAAATGTCCATAATTGATATTCCCATTTTATTCAATTTATCTATACGCTGCATCTAATTTTCATTTTAATGTGTTCTTGGGGCAAATCATAATAAAAAAAAAATAAGTGTTATAGTGGGAGTAATAACTTGGCAACATTTTGATAAGAATATCTAATTTTTCATAGGAATATTGATCTAGAATTTATTTCCCTGTTGTGTCTCCCCAAAATGCCTGATTAACATGCCGTTTGTCCTGGTGTCCTCTACAGTAGACATGTATGAAAATTATGCCTTGTTTCGTAACAAAAAGTATTTTTCCGCTTTGAAACCCCATAACATTTTTTTCTGAGATGTTTATTTACGACAAACAATTTGAAAATTAGTCAGACTGTAATGATAATTACGAAATATTATCATATTTCCCTAAGAGTGCTAAATTTGATCATTCTGTCAATATCAGTCATATTTAAAGACCAAGGAGAGGAAGCGTCTATGATCAAACCTCCAAACATGTTATATCTCTAAAAAGCTGAATGTGTTCAAGATATCCAGACATAAAACTGTGGCATGTATGGTCTCAGAGAAATTGACTAAAATATAATGTCCTCTACAGAGGACAAAAGTCTATGCCTGGGTCCCAGAAGGATATCAAATAAACCGTTTAAAGCAAAACCCGATCGCCAAACATTTTGGCAAATCATTTTGATTCCGCTCTGCATGCACCTTTACCGCTGCTCTGATTCTTGCATGTCCGTTTGCGTTTTTGTCCAGTTACGTTTTGACATCAAAACCGGAGGAAAAACTCCGGTAATTTCAATCCTCACGTAAACGCTTTGTCAAGTTTATAAAACGAGCTTTTTCGTAGTTTTGTATTGTTGTGCATGTAAATGCACTCACTGAAAACATTTAAACGTCTGTGTTCAAGCACGCAGAAACTAATAACCAGAAACAAAAATGTACAAGTGTGTGCGTGTGTGTGTGTGTGTGTGTGTTCATGGAGGCAAAAATTACACCAAATCCCTTCCTGTCATCAACCTCAAAAAATCTCTGCCAGTGCTGCCAACTGGGCTCCTGCCCACTGCGTAATGACCACAACTATCAAACCTTCATGCTGCTGAAATCCAAAGAGAGTGAGAAAAACAAGAATGTGTGGCCATAAAGGCAATGATAATACTGCCTCCCTGTCTCTTTTAACAGCCTCTTTCTGTATTTGTGCCTCATTCACACTGTTACCCCTCCCTTCCCCTCGCCCAGGGCAACTCAAGCCCTATTAGCATGGTGCTCGGGCTGTCGGTTTGCCAGTAATGAGTCCGGCAGCACAATACGGGCACCGGGCTGGAACAGCTGAGAGAGGACAAAGCCTCTGAAAATGGGGCTGGGCAGAGGGCACAGAGAGAGAGAGAGAGCGGGGCCAGGAGTGTGTGGGCATGTGTTACAATCATCACAGGAGCCAAATAATAGGCAGACATGGGCCCTTCAGGAGCTCCAGCCAAGAAAGCAGCTCACTGTTGGTGTGCTAATACTTCATGTGTGTTTCAAAGAGAGACCAAACGTTTGCGCTTCCATCCTGCACTGCTCAACTGGAAACTTTGCGTTTGTAGTTAACAACAAACTCCGAGTCCCCTCTAGAACCGTCGGTCTGCCAAAATAAATTTAGAGCCGTGTCAACTGACATCATGAAGCTGTTCTTCCTCAGTCTGCTGGCTATTTGTGGGTGAAGAGGGTCATTGTAGCTTTGACAGAAGCACTTAACCCAGATTGGGTGAATGAACCCACCAGCCTCATTAATTGATTTCAGCAGCAAACACTGTCAGTTTATGACATCAAATTTGCAGCCTTTTCAATGCCAGTTAATTAGTGATCATTTCTGTTGAGCTTATTGTCCTCCATAGTGTGTTTGGTTGATGTGGAGCGGACAGCATTCCTCAAGAGTACAGATCCAGCCCTAATAAAGCTACATAATAAACAGGTTCATTATGAAAATGTGTGTGTAAAACAGCACAGGGATTTCCTCAGGTTCTACGTCATGTGACTTTGAGTCTTTCACTGGATTTGGCCAAATTTTCTCATTGAAACAAAAATCACACTGTTCACTACAAACATCCATTTATATGAACTGAACTGAATTTACCAAAATAGAATAATCGCTGATGAACCAAATGTATTTTGAAACTTTAAGCAGCCAAATAATTTGCTCTTTTTTAAACTTTTTAAAATTGCAAAAAAAAAAAAAAAAAACAGGAATTAAATTTTTTAAAATGGAAAAAAAAAAAAAAAAAAACAGGAATAGTTTATTATGAAGAAATATATTTGAAGAAATCAAATATAGCCTTAGAGGAACAACATTTGAATGCTTTGCATTTACTCACATTGAAACCCACCACCAGGTCATGGATTAAACCTATTATATTGTTTCAAATGTTTGATTTTGAGCAAGTGGGGAATTTCTCCACAAAAAATAGGACCATGCTTTATTTTTATGCTACAATAGCTGTAACTCAAACATGGTGTAAGAACATTAAAAGCGGGCAGGAAAACAGAATACCAAATATTCATTTCATAATACACAAGACACATCCTGCAAGTTTAGGTGAAAGTTTTAAGTGAAATGACCTGTGTTGCAATAGCAGACAGCAAGATCTTTTATTTTGCAATGCAAGTAAAAGTTTCTGTGTAATACATGTAACTCTGCAGTATGACATTATGGTTTGTTTTATCTCTCAGTTTCACGCTACAGCAGTCATTTGTTGTATTTTAAATATTCAGTCAGAATTCAGGGGCAGTCGTAGCCTAACGGTTATAGACAGACTTGTAACCCAAAGGTCGCAGATTTGACCGGCAGGGATTGTAGGTGGGGGGAGTGAATGACCAGTGCTCTCTTTCACCCTCAATACCACAACTGAGGTGAAACCCTTGAGCAAGGTATCGAACCCCCAACTGCTCCTCAGGCGCCGCAGCAAAAATGGCTGCCCACTGCTCCGGGTGTGTGTGTGTGTGTGTGTGTTCACTACTCAGTGCTGTGTGTGTGTACACTTGGATGGGTTAAATGCAGAGCACAAATTCTGAGTATGGGACACCATTCTTGGCTACATCTACTTTGTGTCAGAGGCCGCTATGCTCCATTTGGCACCAAGCGATAAAAACAGCAAAGAGACGTGATTTCCACTGGACTTGATGCAGGGTCTGGATGGGATCATATTTTCTTTTTCAGGTATAATGTTTAATGTTAGAAGGAGCTATACTACCAGATTTTAAAGACCTATTTAATATTTCAAGAATAGCCAATGTTTTAAGAATCTGCCATTAAAAAACCTTTATTGTGAGATATGGTAGTTACAGCGCTGGTATATGGGAGAAAAATACTACTTGAAAGTTCAGCAGTAACTTTTTCCCAACAAAATAGAAAAAACCCCTGAAATTTTCAAGTACAAATGGCACTATTGTTTGAATTATTTTGCATACAATACTGAAAAGGACTAATCATAACTGTCTGTTGGCAGTCACATCAATGCATCAGTAGATCAAGATGTACATCATCTGCAAAAACACACAGGATGCGTCTCGCTTGCTTCACTTACCAGCATGAAGAATGTAGCCTGTTATTGTCCCTGGTGGCATGTGTCTTCAGGCTGTTGTGAGTGGCGTTAATGTGGCCCAGCGCTGAGGCCAAACTCAGGTCACTGGCCGAGACGCCCTGGGCCACTTTACCAGAAACCGACACAAATAAAAGTCTGCTTTAGAGGGACAGACTCATCAGTGTTTGCTTAAGGTCGGTGAGTGAAAGAACAGCTGACAGATATGAAAGAACTCAAGTAAAGTTTAAACCACATATGAATCCTCATCTAAACTGGGAGCGTCTGATCAGAATAGAATCAGATCAGGCTCGAATTGTCTAATCGGGAGCACCAGGGGAATTCCCGGTGGGCCGGTGTATCGATGAAACAAGCTACCTATCAGATTGTGCTACCAAAAATATATTTACATTGTTTTAAGGGTAAGCTTAGGGTAAGGGTAGGTGTGGACGGGTAGGTTTAGGGTAGGGGTAGGTATGGACATTAAAAAAAGCCTAAAGCCACATGAATAAGATGCTGGTAGCACAATCTGATAGGTAGCATTTTTCGCTATCGATTTGTGCTACCTATCTTTTTAATGGGAGGTAGCACAATCTGCTGTCAGATTGTGATACCAAAAATATATTTGCATTGTTTTAAGGATAAGTTTAGGGTAGGAGTAGGGGTAGGTATGGACACATGAATAAGATGCTGGTAGCACAATCTGATAGGTAGCATTTTTCTTTTTAATGGGAGAAAGCACAATCTGAGCGGGTAGCCATGCCACTGGGTTGAAATATGGATGCTGTTCCTAGGCTACCTGCACTCACAGCAGCCCCACTCTTTTTATATATTATTTTCCCGTACATGTCCTCTTTTTGGAACAAAAAAAAATGCGTCTGGCCTGGATTTCTAAATCGTCCAAAATGTCCAGGATTCGGTTTATGCTTTCTACAGTCGCCATTCATTGTGTGCGTATTAAAGTCCTTCGTGTGACTGTTTTATTAATCCCATTACCGCCCGCTCCCGTGATTTTTGTGTCCACTCCCAGCAAACATTCTAACATTGCATAGAAATTTCGTGCATCAGAGAGCCGCTATCAATATGCGGGGTATTGAAATCTCTTTTGAATGAGCGCTCACTGTTCACTTTCACTTTCGTTTACGCGATCACGCATGCTCTGTGTAAAGGAGGAAGCACGTCTAACGAGATCAGATTTTGTCAATGAGCTCAGGATCTGTTGAGCAGCAAATCTTCCAGCATGATCTTGTCAGTCATTTCTCCTCTCATCCCGTCATCAGTGAAATCGGACTCCTGTAGCTCACGTTGGATGCAGGGTTGTCAAGTCCACTTTTTTCCCACTTGGAATTAGGCTGCTTTTAAACTGTTGCCATGGGTTCATTTTCCCCCGTGGGTTAAAGGTTTGAAAAATTGCACAAATTCCATTTGAATGAAATTTTTGTATTGAAAAATTTAGCATATGATAAAACTGTGCTCGATGTCAAGTTTTGTTAAGGATGTGCCACTGGTAGGAAGCCTTTGAGCTGTGTTTATGATCAATGTGCACAACAGTGACTGTTGTGTGAATAAGCAAACATGATCACATTAGTTACAATATAACAACTTTCTATACCCAAGTGTTACTAGTGACCCATTATGTTTTTAATACAATTAATTACAAGGCTGTAGAGAACAGTGCACTATTGCAGACTTTGAGGTTTTAATTACATTATTTTAATATAGTCAGTCATGAACTAAAGTGGGCCGGTCTAAGGCATGAAACTCCAGGGCTGAAAATGAGTCCCACTCCAGCCCTGGAATAGATAATTCTTAACATGACACACAAGACAACAAAGCCACTGTAAAGTGTGAGGAGACGGACGGATGAATAGACATTCCTGTGCCTACAGTATTGACTCACAGAGGTAAAGACTAATAGCAAAATTACAGTGGTCTTTAAAACAGTCTTTGCTTTTACTTTCTCTCACATATCTCCATCTGGAAAGGAAACCAACCTACAACAAACATCACGAGATGAACACAGGGGAGTGATGAGGAGCGCCGTAATAGCACTGGAGCAGATGGAGAATGAGCGAGAAGAACAGCCACCATCGAAACCAGAGTTAACGCTTCATCCGCTGAGTCTGAGAGCGAGTGACGGCACAAAGAGGAATTCAGAGGAATGATGTCAGGAATTTTTGTGATTGATCAAGCGAGAACCAGAGCGACGGATGCGACCCATGAGCAGCGAAGTGCTGGTTAGGACCCTTAATGAAGAAAAGCCTCCGCTTGCCTTTTTAATTACTCAACCAGGCCTGACAAGTGGCCACAAAACCCTTCAGCCAGACAGACACGCAGGAACAAAAACACAGAAGAACTTGAGCTCACTCCAGTAAAAGCGGCTGCGCAGACGTCACGCTCTGTGGCTCCAGCACTGAGCACTGGTCGTGACCTTATGCCAACAGTGGAGCCAGGAATGGCTGCTGCTCACCTCGAGCAAACACAAGAGCTTCGGGGAAAGGTGTAACGGTGAAAACAGCTCGACTGTAGCAGTGGATTCAAAATAACAGACATTCTTAAATTCTGTTTTGCAACACTCTATGAGGAATGTGTGTTCATGTAGGTTTCTTAAACATAATTCTATCCAGCAGCTGCAGGATTTCAAATCGCTCAAGTATAAAAATTAATCAGCATATTTAGAGGCACATTTGTACTTACACTGGTGCTTTATAACGTGGTATAACATGGCGTTCAGTCATTTTCTAACTCACTGACAGTTTGATTGTTTTTCCTCACAATCTGTTTACGTGTCAACAGGCGGCATTATCTGATATTGGCTTTTCAGATCTTTATCAAGTGACACATCCTGAGCATCCAGAGCCTAAAGGCACAATCCATCACACACATCCTCAGCATCTGAGCTTAATGACAGCTGTTGCTTAAAGGAAAGGATATGAGATATTCACAAAGACTTGATACACAAAAGCCATTCAGCAACGGCGCATTCAGAGGAAAATGTGCTTTACTATGGTTCTGCTGACAACACATTAAATGCAGGAACTCTTATTAAGATGTGAGGTAAGAACTAATGACTTGGATCTTGTCCTTCATTTAAACATCTTGAGCAACATCTCCCTCTTGTGGACGGTATGAACAGGGTCAATTAATAAGAGTATTGTGCAAAAAAATCGGAATTAAAAAGACTACAGTTGTTGCTATTTTTACTTTGGATGGGACAGACTTAAAAAATATATTAAATGACGTAAAATCTTAAAGGATTCAAGTGCTTCAAGCATATCTCGACAGTTTGTGTGTAAGAGTTCAGACACTGTAGTCCTGATTTTTTCAAAGCTCTTTGTTACGGCGGGGAATTACGATCTTTCGATAGGTCCGTCTCTCTGAGATGTTGCGTCTGACAGTGACGACAGGCTGAGGAGGTGTTTCTAACTCTAGAGACGGACTGGAGTGAGATCGCTTCATCCCAGCATCGGCCTCATCCTGCTGCTCATCCATCACTCCTCTCCACAATCCCTCATCAAACACATTCAGTTTGTCTCCGACCGATGAATCAGACTTCTCCAGCGCCTGCCAGGCCTCCAGAACTTTAAGATAGACTTCATAACGAGACTTCTGTGAAAAGCAGCAGACAACAGTCTTCACTCACACCTTCTACAGTGGAATTAAACGGAGTTGCAGCATGAAAAATAATACAACATAGTAATGGTTAAAAGCTTTCATGTCATCTGCGGCCTTTTTTGATGAAAAAAGCTTTTGCTTTTTGCTAAAAGCTTTTGATGATGATTAGTGAAATATGGCGCATACAAAAGCTCTATTCCCTATCCTCTATCCTGCAATGATCATAAAATGCTGTTTTTATCATCTGCATTTCATTTCCATATGCATAGTGACGTCCAGAAATGTGACACTACTGCTTTTAACAGTACTAAAAAAATAGCAAATTAAGAGATAATACTGACTGTAAATATCACACCGCTTAAAATCTTGTTTTCCTGCAAAAATATCTAAACGGGATTGTTCACCCAAAAAAGACAAATCTGTCATCATGGAACAGGTCTCAGGGTGAGTAAACAATGACAGAACATTTTTGGGTGAACTATCTCAATAAACTGAGAGAAATTCACCTGAGATGTAGAAAGTTGACTCGTTTTCAGAACATGATCATCTGTTTTTCTCAGCCCATTGGCGATACTTTTATCTCATTAATCTTGTGTGTGTGTGTCATTTATACATCAGGCCACTGGAGTCTGTAAGTGAAATGCATTATGTATTATGAGAAGGTGACAAACACACACCTCATACTGTAAGTACTCCTCTCTCTGCCTGAGCTCCTCCAGCTCTCTGGCTTTGCTCTTTTTGCTGTCTGGCGCCTCCTGCTGGAGGGACGTCAGGTCCTGCTGGAAGCTGTGCAACATGGCCGCATGCGACTGCAGCTGTTTGTCCTGTGAAAACAATAACAGATGCAAATACACCGATCCACACCCTAAACGACGCATAGATGCTTGACATGCTGAACGACTCTCTAATGAAAGCAGAGAAATTAAAGAACAGGGGAGCTGGTGTCTATCTGCAGACACAATTATTGTCCTTTGGTGTGGATGGATGCTAATATAGTTATGGTCATAGTTTTTTTTTGAGTGAATGTGTTTTCAGGGATATTGTCCGTGATTAGGCATGTGACGGTATCAAACTTTCATGCTGCGATTAATTGCTAATGCTTTTATCACAGTATATAGTATTATCACGATATTTAGTTCAGCTTAGCGCCATCTGCTGTCAGAGAGTGAATGTGCGCTTTCATTCAGCGCCACATGCACTTCTCATCCGAGCTTGTTTACATGAGAGTGCGCAGCAGTGTTGTGCATTGTGACCAGTTGATGGGAAAAGTATTCTTAAAATGCATTCAAAAAATCGGAATAATTTGTAATAAATAATTATTCACCGTATTTTGAAGTGCCCACAATAACAATATCGTGCATGTTCATTATTGTGATATATCGCATTACCGAATACCGGCACATGTCTATCCATGATAGACAAGTTTAAATTGTAGTCAGTCATGTCCACCCACAACTGTTGACCAATGGGCTTACCCTGTTGAAATAGAAACAGCATATGCTGGTTAGGTATGTTTTGAAGCATTGCTACTGGTTTGAGCTGGTTCAAGCTGGTCCTTAGCTGGTTTAAGCTGGTCATGTGCTGGTCCTAAGCAACTAGCTCCTGCTCAGGACCAGCACATGACCAGCTTAAACCAGCTCATGACCAGTTAAGGACCAGCTCAAACCAGCAGCAATGCTTCAAAACATACCTGGCTGTTTAAGCGCTGCACATCTGCTTTGTTTCTGGGGTTTCCGGGGTAACAGCTCCATTTCTGCTATTCAGCACCACCTGCTGTCAGAGAGTGAATGTGCGCTTTCATTCAGCGCCTCATACACTTCTCATCCTTGCTTGTTTACATGAGAGTGCGCAGCGGTGTTGTGCATTGTGACCAGGTGATGGGAAAAGTATTCTTAAAATGCATTCAAAAAATCGGAATAATTTGTAATAAATAATTATTCACCGTATTTTGAAGTGCCCACAATAACAATATCGTGCATGTTCATTATTGTGATATATCGCATTACCGAATACCGGCACATGTCTATCCATGATAGACAAGTTTAAATTGTAGTCAGTCATGTCCACCCACAACTGTTGACCAATGGGCTTACCCTGTTGAAATAGAAACAGCATATGCTGGTTAGGTATGTTTTGAAGCATTGCTACTGGTTTGAGCTGGTTCAATGCTTCAAAACATACCTAACCAGCATATGCTGGTTTTTTCAACAGGGCAGTTACTCCCGGACAGAGAAGCAGATCAGAAAGGCTGTTACCAGCATGAGGTTGGACTGTGTCGCAGGCAGGATGGGCCGACAGAACTTTTTCTGAGAGCCAACAGCAGCGGGAAACGGAGGTGAGGAGTACAGTGCAGACACCAGGTTGATCCGGCCGATCCAGGAGTTCATCTGCTCTGTGGAACTGAAGAACACTTGACGATCACTCAGACAGAACTGTTAAATTATTTGGGTTTAAGAATAATCTGCACACAAACTCACGCAGCCTCGAAGAGGAAAACTCTCCAATCGGCCGTCTGCAGGCGAAACACGTGAGGGCGTTTGGTGTAATTCAGAGCTCGCTCCGCCAGAGCGTGATGAACGCTGACCACTTCCTCTGAGCTCTGGCAGTCCTTCACGTAATCATCCTGGACAGACAAGAGACACGGCTCAACTATGACCGTTTTAACTGAAATTTGTATTGATGCTTTGGCAAGATTATATATAAATGCAGACATGCTAAAGCATGGTAAAACATGAAGACAGAGTGTTTGTCACCACCCTGGATGTCCATATGCATTTATTTACATTCATTACATCTTACTAATATCCAGCATCAGTATCTGGCAACAAACCTTCTGCAGGTAAAGCACCATTCCCTTCAGCATGGCATAAAATGTCTTCCAGCTTCGTTTCCCCCATGGAGCTGTAAATCAGTTCAGTTGGTTATCAGTGTGTGTGAAATATTGCCTGTCCAGCGCTCTAGGGATCAGGATGCACAACTCATTGACTAAACATTTGAAAAATTACTTAATAATGACTTAATGACAAGTTAATGTGTGAGCTCCGCTAGATTTTTTCTGTTTTTATCAGTGGTGCTTTAAAGGGGTTGAATTATTCTTCTATACTAGTTGAAGAGAGTCTAAGGCCCGTTTCACACATACTCCGTTTGCAGTGCGTATGCAGTGTGTGTTTTTTTGCCTGTGCCTGTGTTTACAGGTTACACATGGCTTTTTGGCTAGGTTTAAAGCAAGGAAAAGCGCATTAGATAAATGAGGCATCATATCAGATGGCACTCGTGGAGGTAGAAAAATGTTCTTTATGACCTGCATAAAGATTTAAACACAAAAGAAACGGCACAGAAGTTGGCTGTTTCTGTCAATGGTAAGTTTCAATTTAAAATGTTTGTGATAGCCTACTAGCTTTAATGTAAAAAAGTAGGCTATAGGTTATGTTTAAATGTTTTGCCACTTGCTTGAGCAACTTAATATGTAAATCTATATAGAATTAAATTTAATTGAATTATACATTGTTTATATTTATTGTGTTTACACGTGAATATGTCTATGAAAGATTGTATTATTGTACTGTGTAAAAAGAATCGCAATGCTAAAAAACATTTTCAGTATCAACATTTGGATTTGAAATCAAGATAGGGAATTAATTTTGTGTTTGTGGTATATTGTCGTGGATGTAAAAGCACAATGAGCCCGTGCTGCTTCTGCACCACATGTACAGGACTACATATGGACTGCACACGGTTTACGTGTCAAACAGGTATTAGTGACTAGTCTGTCAGCAGCACAGTGAACACTGCCTCAACAAACATAAATTCTCCTAAAATCATACTTCAAATTGTCTGCTGTGAGCAGTAATGTTGTTGATATTCAAACTCTGTTTTTTGGAAGGACTATGATAGTTTTTTTAAATAAAATGTTAAAGTTAATTGCTCTTTTTTTGTTGAATATTGATCAGTTCCGCTACTGAAGGGCTGCACACAGAAATGTGTCTAAATGCTGTCTGGTGAATGTAGCCTCCTAAATACCGACTACTGTACATCACACTTGTCTTTATCCACACTGCGACTCACTGCGTTTGCCATCAATGTCTGCGTGCGCTTTGCGCTTTAAAAAGCCTTTCTGGAACACGGTGGCCTTGGTGTCGTGAGGGAGATCCTGGAACGGGTTACTCTTTGAGCGCAGAAGTCCATCCTGGTCCAAATCCTGCTCGAGCATCATGGATTTAGCCAGAAACTCCTCCTCTCTAGGAACAGAGATAAACATGATGAAACATCAGATCAAAGTCAGATCAGCACTGCAGGTCAGTTTACTCACATGGCCCACTGCAGTGGATCACTCTTGATGGAGCTGTAGAGACTCTGAAAGAGACAGAAGAAACAGAATTACTACTGAGCTTATAATGCAACACGTGAACAACTCGGGATGAAGATTTGGTGCTCACACCTTCAGATAGTCCTTGCTGAAATTCTCGCCTCCATTCATGCCATCCAGATTTGACACAAATTCAGCTGAAGACATGGGCTTCCCAACATTCTGATGACACAAAAGTGTTACTCTCTCAAAGACTGTAGTTGATCACGTGACATTACCTGGACTCCTCCAGGTAATAGAGTTTAGGGACTTAATCTTTTTCTATGATTGTTCGAGTTACATGAGACTCACTTGTCCATGCAGGTCTGTGTTAAGCAGCATTACGGCACACGTGAGCGTGAGCACAGATCCCGCTGAGGAGGATGTGTCAGGATTACACTGCTGGAAACGAGAGGAGAAGTGCTGCAGGACTCTCTCGCGCTCCTGAGTTTCACCGATCAAAACCACCTCCTTCAGAAATGACCTAAGAATCAGGAAGAGCCCAAAAAAAAAGCGTTTTGAAAAGCGATCTCTTGACGCATCTCCTAATTGTGTGCTCAGATGTTGGGAATGAGAAGCTTACCGGAGCGCTTGCTCCAGACTATGGTTGGTGAAGTCAAAGAATTTGAGGTACTCTTCCCCAACAGCATGACTGAACTCGTTGCTATCAAAAGAAACAGCAAATGGTAAGATTTGGTGGAAATACAAATACTTGCATGACACTTAATCAATGTTATGTAAAGACTTACTCTTTGTCCAGATGTCTGACCACATCTGTACGCTGAAAACCGTCCAATCTGTAGAGCTTCTCAGCCAACCACTGAGCCTCGGCCCTGTCCATGACCTCAACGCTATCGTTGATGCAGGGACCAGCAGTTTTCGTGTCTAGAACAGGCAGCTCATCCTGCATACGGCGCTCTGATGTCATATCCTGTACATGTTGTGCCACGTCTGTCAGCGCTGTAGGTTGGTTCATGTCACTGGATGCGTCTGAACTCTCTGATGGCTTCATCTCTGATTGTGGCGTCTGCTCGCTGGGTTTCTCCTCATCTGAACACTGGATCTGCTCTGAGGATTCGTTCTCATCTGGACATCCAAACTGCTCGGGCTGCTCACTCGGCTCAGACTCTGCTTGCTCTGACAGCCCATTTTCAGGTTCAGACTTTTGTTCTGAACCTACAGGTTTTTCTACATATTCTTGGTTTTGTGCGTTGAATTGCTCTGAGTGGTCCTGAATCTCTTCTGCATGTTGTAAAGTGCCATTATTCTGGTTAATCTCTGTCACTGTAACAGTTGTGCTTATCTTTTCTGGCTCTTGTGTCAGTATTACTTCCTCGAGTTCCACTGAATTGTCCATAAGGTCTGACAGCTGCTCTGGTGGTTCTGTTGGGCCTGTAATGATGGCATCCTGTGATTGATCAGACTGGACCTCTGGAGGAATTGACTCTTCCTTTTCCGGACATTGATCAGGTCCTTGAATCTGATCCTGAATATCGGTTCTTGCGTCTGATGATTCTCCGTTTGCTTCGGTCTCAGTCCACTCTCTTGTTTGCTTTTCACTGCCTGAATCTGTGGTTTCCTCATGGGCAAAAGTCATTTGGGGAAGGACTAACGTGTCAGGTTCCTTCTCTTCATGTGACTGTGAGCTGTTTTGACCCAGTCGAATCTCTGAGTCTCGTGCGTCCATAAAGATCTGAATATCATCAGAAGGTTCAGGATGCTCTTCAGTCACATCTTCTCTGGAATCTGATGGAAAACAGCACAGATAAATACTTCCATGCCATATTGATTTCTAAGAACAACAAAAGATCCTACAAAACAACACCAAGTTCAAACCTCTAGGAATGTAAAGGCTGATGGGAAACTGATGTGCATGCGGTTTATGCACCAAGAGCTTGTAACACTCCAAAGAGAAAGGAAAAATTGAAATCGCATCATATGACCCCTTTAAAGGTTATGCAACAAAACTCATGAAGAAGAAGCGAAGTCGACTGAGTCAGCAAACAGTTCAACATTCACAGCTGACGAACACATGGCCATTTCACAACTGTCACACAATTACAACCACACCCCAATATGATTTAAAGCACTTATATTATTCAAATCACATCACCTTACAAAAAACATGATCAAATCATTTAGACTTAAATCGTTACCATTGACATCTGCAAATGACATGGGGGGTTCTTCATGTAAAAGTGCCAGTTGTGTTTGTATATCTGACTTCTGAGCATCACATGTCTATTGGAGGGAAAAAAACTTTAGAACACATTCATTTCACTCAAACAAATAAACATTTGCCATCTTTTTCTTTTGGTCAATTCTAAACCAACTCAAACTGATATTGTAATTCATTCAAACAAACTATACTGTACGTTTTGAAAGTTGTTAAACTCACTTTAAAAAGTGCACACACACGCACAGTATTCAGAAAGCAGGTCACTGGTTACTGATACAAGAACATGTCTACCAGAAAAACCACAAGGCCCTTCCGGTTTTACTGACATACCTGGGAAGACACAAGTTTAACGTCTAGTTGTGACTCGACTTCAGGTAAGAAATCAACGATGGCGTCCTGATTTGTGATATAATGGAGGTCTGCAGACGGTAGATCCAATGTCCAGTCGATCCTTGGCTCGACAATGGAGTCTAGTTCAGTCTCAGATGATCCGGGAGGCTCTGTGGGCGTTTCTGGGGCGTCCCATTGCACAGTAGCGTAAGAGAGAGGAGCACAGGGAACAGTGATGGTGTACAAAGACACACCGTGATCTGGGACGTCCAGACCCACGCAGCTCTTCCTCGGGATGGTCTCGTTCTCAAGGCTACTTTCATTCTCCTGTTTCATCCTCTCTATGTACTGCATGGCCTCCAGGTAAGGTTCAGATTCCTGATAGTCTTCAATATCCTCCATAGTCTTCTCATTCAGATGGTCATCATGAACAGTTTAGGAAGAGCTCATGTCAGTCTTTGTCCTCTGTGATGAGCAGGGCATCCATTTTGAGACTGTCGCTCAGAAACACAGTTTCCTCCCACACCTACCAAAATCTTCAACCAACAAACTCCAAGAGCCTGAGATTTCAGAAAACAAATTACATCTATATCATGATCATTCAGTACTGCATATAATCAAACATTTTGAGTATGTAAATGTTCACTTCTGTCTAAAGTGCATCGGTAGAGATAAAACCCTTTCATTAGCCATCATATGTACGCAGCTATGACACCACAAAACCACGACACTTTACAGCCATGTGCATGAGACCGCTGAAACATGAATTTCAGTCAATTTAATAGACAATCCGTGGAACAGCTACTTGTGTTCAGCATTTACACAACAAAGGCAATATAAATAAAGACAATATAAACCATCATGCTGACACTGCAAAGAGCATCTGTAGAATCAGGTTTATTTGATAATTATACACTTCTCATGATAAAAGTCCAAACGACAGGATCAGAGTCACTGTTTGCAGTGCTGAAACAGTCTGTCAAAACCACACACAGAAATGAGCAATAAATTCTTTACATGTCATTTATAAGGCAATGGAGTCCTCCATAAGCAACATGCCTGGTTTGCATGTTCACATTCTCCTAACAAACAGCACACGACTAAATCAATGACTTGATTTATAATATCTAATGTGATGATGGTTTAAACAAATGTAGAGAATGGAGCTCACCTCAGCCGTGTCCTTCAGTGAAGCCTTCTGTACTTTTTTAAAGACACACAGAGCGGATGTGCTCTGCAATGACTTTTGCTCAAGCAGCACTGAGGCACATTTACACTTCCTGACCACAAACAACCTCCACTGAGAGAGAGAGAGAAAGTGAGACAGACAGACACAGAGAGAGAGAGACAGTTGAGGGTGCTGGGCGAGACGAAGACAGATACTGCAAGACAGTGAAACTCAGTGAGTTTTTTCCCCCTTGCAGTTAGAATCGCTATAATCACCATTAGCACAGATAAACACAATCTAAGCCAGACAGAGAGACACTGAGATGAAACATGAACTGACCCTCCAACAGTAATAGATTATAGATCAGCACATCACTTCCTGCTGCTCCTCACATCACCTCACACTTCCTGTGCTGTAGAAAACATGAATATGAAAATGCCTCCTACGGCGTCTCATGTTTCTGACACTTTCACAGTCCAGTTGACATAAACTGTTTCATTACAACACATTTTAATCTTTATCTGATCATCTGTGAAGGTCAGAATATGTTTAAACAATAACATAACAAAACACTTTAAACACTATTCATGACATTCATACAAGTTCAAAAGTTAAAGGGGACTGAGATTATACAAAAAGCATGATATTATTATGCATTCAGGTCACAGCAGTTAAATGGACAGTCCATGAAATGGTACATTTGAAAAGTGTTATTAGGCTACACACAAACAAGAGAGCAAATGAATTAAAAACAAATACATCACACTAGATTACCGAGTCTCTGTCAGAACCGACTTTCTTTTCAACTTCATCTTAACGTGAATCAGAACTATAAAATGAATTAATTAAATCCGTGCTGCCCGACTTGACGGTCGTTTTCAAAAAAACGAGTCCAACAGCATTTTTTGCATTGACTTTCTTTTCAACTTCATCTTAACGTGAATCAGAACTATAAAATGAATTAATTAAATCCGTGCTGCCCGACTTGATGCGACGGTCGTTTTCAAAAAAAACGAGTCCAACAGCATTTTTTGCATGTCGCAAGTACAGCTTCGGTTCAAATGACACACAAAAGTAAACGCAACAAAAAAAAACCGCGCTCATTCAGCACCGGACAATTTTCACTCACCGGCTTTTTTTTTCTGCGAGACATCTGTGAAAATACTACGAATTGAAAACCGATGCGCGTCTACAGGAAAATGACCATACGATTGGCTGTTGGCAAAAGCGAAAGACACCTGAGCGCCCCGCCCACCTGACGGACGAACATTCCTCAGTCAGCAGGTAAAACTGGTACCTGTAAGGACTCTCCATCCATCATCCATCCATCCACACGCACCGCTGTTCTCTGAGCGGGGAAACATCTGATGGCCAGTCCCAAGACTCTGGAGAGCAACACATTATCCTAAAATATGTCAGTAGCGTATAACTCACAAAAATGTTAACCACAGAATAGTCACTGTATGGATAGTTTTCTATGAATTGTGTTGTCATGTCATTGATCCAGAGACAAAGACTAACAAAAAGAGACTGAAAAAATACTATAGTAATTTATAGTAAATACTATAGTGTTTTTGAACCATACTATAGTATACTTAAATGAATTTGTTGTGGTAATTATATAGTTGCTGTGGTAACATAACAACTATAGTAATATAAACAAATTACTTTACCCAATACTGTACTAAGTTTTCTACAACTATAGGGTATATTATACTCAGTGTTGGGGGTAACGCATTACAAGTAACGCGAGTTACGTAATCAGATTACTAGTAAAGTAACACATTACTTTTTAATTTACAAGAGAATATCTGAGTTACTTTTTCAAATAAGTAACGCAAGTTACTCTCAACATAGGCTACCTGTCCCCATGTTGAGAGAAATCAGAAGATGTTACTGTAGTTCTATAATAAATATGAATATGCATTCATTCATCTCACTCACACACACAAAAAAAAAAACAGATTCAGTATTCCTCAAAATGAATAAAAAATAATGCAACTCAGAATATGACGTAAACCTGCAATAATTCAATGTTAAACAGCACAAATATCCTTTATGTATTTAATCCCATTCTATTAACCAATGTCTTTGCTTCTGACCTTCGATGATCCAGTTCAACCATACTAATAAGCAAAAATTACTCTAGACAAACAAACAAGTGTGTTGAAATTACTTCTGCATTCTACTCTACGGACGTAAATGTACTTTCCCTTCAGCCTGAGGCTTATTCATTTCACTTTTGGTGTGAAAAGGCTTTTATATTTGCCAAAAATATAACTTTTTTTATTTTAAAAACAAACAAGCAAGCCCTGTCCAGACTTAAAAAGTAACGCAAAAGTAACGTAACGCATTACATTCCATAAAAAGTAACCAAGTACCGTGATTAGTTACTTATGGAGTAACGCAATATTGTGATGCATTACTTTTAAAAGTAACTTTCCCCAACACTGATTATACTACAATACACTACATTTTACTGTAGTACACAATCTAAAGTATACTACAATATTTATCACAGTTTATCAGTTCACTATAGTTAATACTACAGTATGCTGTAGCATTCATTAACAAAGTGTTGTAAATACATTTAGTCATTTAGCAGACGCTTTTATCCAAAGCGACTTACAAATGAGGACAATAAAAGCAGTCAACACTAACAAAAGAGCAAAAAATAAAATAAATATAGTGAGCATTTTACGACCGTGTCCAATTAAAAGGAGTGAACGTGTTATTATCTGAAGTAAAACTGCTGCTGCTACTGATAACTGTTAGCAGAATGCAGAAATATTCTTTGGAGAATCGCTGAAAAGCATATCGAAGCGAGCAATCAGAGCGGCTGGAAGTTTCTTCCAATCCTGAGGGGGCAGCGGTGAGTCCGGCGGCGCTCGGGGTTGTTTCGCGGTCACTGCGGCTCCGTGTGTTTGTTGAAATGGCGAAGTTTGGCGATTTAAAAGCCTTTCTTGAATCTTCATTAAATGAAATCTTCCGTGCGACCGTCAGTGACATTCTGGATTCAGTGGAGCAAACAGTCGGCGAGTATCAGCTTAAAATTCAGCGAATTGAGTCCGAAAATGAAGATCTGAGAAAACGACTTTGTGCAAAAGAAAAAAGGACAAATTATGTCAAAACAGGTGCGTGCAATTTGGAAAATTATGTCATAGTTAGTATACACTGCGCTGTTTTTTGGTTAATGCGTGCAAATGATAATGTTGCACATAAGAGCTGTGCATTTGAGTTATTCCTTCTGTGATTATCATTTGCAAACGCATCTGATATACAAGTAAATGTAAATAACAACGTGTGACAAGGGGCGACGTATTAGTTTCTAAAAAAAATCATAACAGACAGCAACATTTAATCCATCAAACGAAACTGCTGTCTGTTATAATCTGTTATGTATTTCAACCAGTTATGGTTTTATGTCAACTCCATTTTAATCCTCTGCAAGAGTTTAACTCTTCGGAGATCAGCGTGTTTTTCTTTGTTACTCATGATTTATTTTGGACATATCATGTTGGCCAGTAACAATATGTTTTTGTGTGTGTGTTGCAGAAGATGAAGACTGTGTTGTGGCTCAGCTTGACTTCTCAAGAGACACTTTCAGCCAGACTTCATCTGCTCAAATGAGTGAATACAATGATCAGACGAAGATGGCTGGAGATTTAGTGTGCAGCCGTACAAAGTCACAAACCACAGATGTCACGCCGTTCCAACTAAACAAGGATTGTGCAACAACATATTTATTTGTAAAGGCCGACCCAGACACAGAGGACGGATGTGCTGTTGACCTTTCAAATCCTCATGCTTCTCCTAAATACACCAGTAAAGAAATAAAAATAGAGGATGCTAACGAGAACGCTGACTCTGAACGTCACGCTTTATTTAAACGTCCTTTAGAGCCAGAGATCAACTCTAATGACTGTGATGTTAAAGTAACGGTAGTGTCAGACAAACACCTTTATCATGTTGATGAGGGTGAGTGCAGCAGACGTGCAGCGTTGGAGGAGGAAGTACGGGAGTCACCGGAGCCCGATATCATCTTTGATGAAGAGTCCAATCCAGACAGACTGTCCGATGAGGGATCTTCTGGATTGCTTCATATGACGGCGTCGCCACCAAACTATTCCTGCGGTCAGTTTAACAAGAGCTTCAAGCACAAAACACAGATTCAGTATTCCTCAAAATGAATGAAAATAATGCAACTCAGAATATGATGCAAACCTGCAATAATTAAATGTTAAACAACACAAATATCCTTTATATATTTAATCTCATTCTATTTCTTTGCTTCTGACCTTCGATGATCCAGTTCAACCATACGCAAAAATTACTTTAGACAAACATTTGTGTCTTTTTTTATTAAGTGTGTTGAAATTTCTTCTTCTGCATTCTACTGTACGGACGGAAATTTACTTTCCCTTCAGCCTGAGGCTTATTCATTTCACTTTTGGTGTGAAAAGGCTTTTATATTTGCCAAAAATAGAACTTTTTTAATTTTAAAAACAAACAAGCAAGCCCTGTCCAGACTTAAAAAGTAACGCAAAAGTAACGTAACGCATTACATTCCATAAAAAGTAACCAAGTACCGTGATTAGTTACTTATGGAGTAACGCAATATTGTGATGCATTACTTTTAAAAGTAACTTTCCCCAACACTGATTATACTACAATACACTACATTTTACTGTAGTACACAATCTAAAGTATACTACAATATTTATCACAGTTTATCAGTTCACTATAGTTAATACTACAGTATGCTGTAGCATTCATTAACAAAGTGTTGTAAATACGTATAATATATACAGTAGAATACACTTTACTATAGTATGGTTCAAAAACACTATAGTATTTACTATAAAATTACTATAGTATTTTTTCATGTGGGTAGACTCGTGAATGGCTTTCAGAACAAATGCTGTCGTTAGTCTTAACGTACCATAGATAAATACATTTACATTTAGTCATTTAGCAGACGCTTTTATCCAAAGCGACTTACAAATGAGGACAAT